GCTAAAAAGGCTCATCCTCACAGAAGGAAGCACAGGGCAGTGAGGCTGTGGCTCCTAGTGAAGCAGCAGGTTAACTACACCACCACCAACAAACATGAGTTTATTCCAGACATTCAGAGAATAATAAGAAAAAAAAAAACCAATCCTTTAATAATTATTCCTGGCTAACACCCAAAGAGAAACCACCCTTGAAGAGAAGAAATTCTTTGCAGCTTATGCAGATTTTGAGCTATAACATTTCACATACACTGTCATCTGTAAGTCTCATTTAGGTTACAGCATTAAGATATACTTTGAGCTTTAAACTTGTTTTACAGAACCAGAAACTGTAAGTGTGGCCATTTTGAACAAATGGGAGATTTACATAGCAAAACTGTTATCACAGTTATTTTGAAATAAGCCAGTGTTGTTCTATTTTATGTAGTTGTTAACCAGGAATGTCTTACCTGCCTGGCAGAATTACAGTCCGTTTGATATGTGAATATAACCTAATGGGTAGCAGTCTTGGTGAACAAATCTTTTTGTTGTTGTTGTGATTTTGTTTCATTTTGATTGAGACAGGGTTTCTCTGTGTAACAGCCCTGGCCATCTTAGAACTTGGTCTGTAAACCAGGCTGGCCTTGAACTCACAGAGATCCACCTGCCTCTGCCTCCTGAGTGCTTGGATTAGAGGTGTGCTCCACCACCGCCTGGCCCTGTGAACAAATCTTAGCAAAAAGATATCCTCCATAACTCTAAACTCTTAATTTTGTTAGAAGTACAACTCTACTTTTCTTTCTGCAGTTTCTATGAAGTTTGGTTAGTTAAGGAAATCGGGCAATGCCTGGGGAAGACACCCTATAGGGTCTGGGCTATTTCACCCCACTGTGTCCTCAAGGTAGAGTTGGCTCCTTGGCTCAGTAAAAGCTCTATGGTGGTACTGTGGCCACACTCTACAGCAAGGTGCAGAGGGGTCTTGTGAAGCCAGCCAGCAGCATTGACCTGTGCACCCCTGTCCAGGAGATAACTGACAGCTTCTACATGGCCTCCCCGAGCAGCATAGTGCAGGGGTGTGAGGCCCAGTGAGTCTCGAGAATCTACCTCAATGCCCTTGGCCACCAGCAGCTGTATAACAGGCAGGTATCCACCAGTGGCAGCCCTGTGGAGTGCAGAGAGGTTGTTCCTGTCCCTGATATTTGGGTCTGCCCCATGGTCCAGCAGCATCTCAACATTCTGAAAAAGGAAGGAAAGAAAAGAGAAAGAGCCTGTTATCCTGGTCCAGAGGGGTGAGGAGCTGGGCCTGGCATCTGCCTGAACAAAATTCCTAAAGCCTCTCTTTTCTGTTAGGAATGAATGGGATAGAATCTGAGGCAGCCCCAAATTCTTGGATCAAATTCAACACTGTGCAAAGGCTGTTGCCCCTGGTGCCTCCTGGACTCTACTGATCTTGAACTCCATCCAAATGCTTAAATAAATACCTGTGGCCAGGCATGGTGGCCCACACCTTTAATCCTAGCACCTCCAGCAGAGGCTTGGAGGATCTATGTGAGTCCAAGACCAAGTTGGTCTACAGAGAGAGCTTCAGGCCAGCCAAGGCTACATAGTGAGTTGCTGTCACAGAAAAACTAATTATTCACCCAATCCATTGCTATGGGCCACCAGAAAAAAAGTGGGATTGCCAGGTGTGAGAGACCTCCCCAGGTACCATTTAGTAGGGAAGTTTTATAAGGAGGGCCCAACTGGGAACTCCAACCCCTCCACCCTGCATGCCTGTGCTTCAGCATCTTTCTACCTTGTTCCTCTCCTCCCACAGAGCTTATGGAAGTAAGTGTAGAGGACAAAGCCCTTGGGCTTCTGGCACAGTCATTGCAGGTGAAGGCTGGACCTACTTGGTGATGGCCTAGGCCAGCCGCCAGGCCAAGTGCAGTGGTTCCTGTGCTGTCCAGGGCATCCACCTTTGCTCCCAGCGCCAGGAGAAGCTGCAAAGCTGATGCACTTCCAGCTACCGCTGACACCAGCAGGGCGCTGTCCAGGTCTACGTTGCCTCCAACAGTAAGCAACTCTAGTACTGGCAGTTGCCCGCACGCCGCTGCCCAGTGTGCGGCTGTCCAACCTCTTAAGTCTTTCACAGCAGAACCTGAACCTGGTGCAGCCATAAGGCACGTAACCAGTAGTGTGCGGCCCAGCGCAGCTGCCCAGTGCAGGGGTGTGAGGCCCGTTTGAGAGCATGCCACTGCTGAGGCCCCACGCCGCAGCAATAGTTCCGCCACTTTCGAGTGCCCATGCCAGGCAGCCTGGTGCAGCGGTGTGCGCCCTGTATGGTCAACTGCGCCTGCCAGGGACCCACGCTGCAACAGTAGGCGTACAAGAGGTGTGTGGCCTCGCATCACAGCCAGATGGAGCGGAGTCCGACCTGTGTGATCCCTTTGGGGTGCAAAAGAAGTCAGAGTGCGCCTAGACATTCAGCCCCAGCCAGAGAAAGAGTCTGGAGCTAGTCATGAGACTTACCTCTCCTCCACACTGGCACCTTGCCTCAGCAGCTGCATCACCAGGCTGGGAGCACCCCACCACACTGCCTGGAACAGAGTACTCCAGACCTGGGAGGTAAGAGGTCCCTCTGCCTTGTCTGCTGGAGCCTCCTCCCAAACCAGCTCCATCCACTGCAGTTCCTGCTCCAGCCTGCTGGAATCCATCTGGGGAGAACATCTACCCTGAGGCTGGTTCATCCTACCTGCCCCATGTCACCATATCACCACCACCCCACCAGGGGAACTCAGATACCACTTAGCCTTTTGAAGGGCCTTGGCTCCTAATTACCTCCAGAGGAAACTGGCACAGGAGCTCCGTCTTCAGGCTGAGGATTCTCTCTATTTCTAAGCTAGCCTCAATCTGGTGACCCTGCTCAAAAAATTTTTTTCCTGCAGTTTGAGAGGTGGGTGCTACTCCTGGGAAGCTAGACTGGAAGTTGAGGGTGGGCAAAGGGCTGCTGCTTCCTTATGGGCTGTGTTGAGGCCACCTGACACTGTTTATCTAGTAATTTGAAGAGAGTCTCTGCCTGCCCTTGCCCCCTAGCAAGCCACTAAAGCTCTTGGCCACACTCCCAGGAACAAAGGCCAGGACAGGTTGGGAAGGGCAAGCAGGAACATGCCCTGGATGACAGCAACTCCTTCCTACCTTCCTCCAAGTAACACAAACTTCAATATGTTCTGACTTGCCCCAGGCACCCTGACACCTACCTGCCCCACCCTAACCTGGAGCTGGAAGCACCTCTCCTAGTTTCAGGTTGGGGAGTGGACACAGTAAGGTTCTATCCTTTTTTCTAATAAGATGCTTTGAAAGAGAAAAAGGTTCACCGTGGATATCTGAACAGTGGGATTGGAAGCTCCTGGAGAGCAGGATGAGACCAAGCTAATGCAGACCTCGAGAGGGAAGAGACATCTGGGTGGGAAGGAATGTAAGCAAGCAAGGATATTTCTGGAACAGGAGATGTTAAGTATTTATGCTTAGAGGTAGAAAGGGGGCCCTGCAGAAACAAGGCCTTCATGTGGATACTTGACTCTGAGCCTGGAGATCAGAGAGGGCAAGGTCCCAGTATGTATCTTATTATATAGCCTTAGCTAGCCTAGAATACACTATGTAAACCAAGCTGACATTGAATTCAGTAAAGACCCGCCTGCCTCTGTCTCCCAAGCACTGGGATTAAAGGTGTGCACCACCAGATCCAAATCTGACTCCCTGGCCTCTGAGGACACCTGCACTCATGTGGACATACCCACATATACACATAATCAAAAAATTAAAATATCAGGGGCCAGAGAGATGGCTCAGCAGTTAAGAGTACTTGTTGCTCTTATAGAGGACCAGGGTTAGATTCCCAGAACCTACATGGTGGCTTAGAACCCACTTGTAACTCCAGTTCCAGGAGGTCTGATGACCTCTTCTGTGAGCACCAGGCATGTACATGATGTACATACATCCATGGAGCCAAAATACTCACCTGTATAAAATAAATAAGTCATTGAAACATTTAAAATAAAATATCAATCAGACATGATGATGCATACTTTTTTGGTGGTTGTTGTTTTCAATACAGGCTTTCTCTGTGTATCCCTGGTCCTAGAACTTGCTTTGTAGACCAAGCTGGCCTCAAACTCAGACATCCTCCTGCCTCTGGCTCCTGAGTGCTTGGATTAAAGATGTGCACCACTATGCCCATCTACTTTTAATCTCAGCACTCAGGAGGCAGAGGCAGGTGTATCTATGTGAGTTCAAGACCACCCTGGTCCACATATTGAGTTCTTGGCTAGCCAGCAAGGGCTATATAGTAAGGCCAAGGCTGAAATAAATAAACAAAAATATATAATAAAATAAATATTTTTTAATTACAAGAGTGTGGGCTCAGTAAGGAGATGATTTACAACATTTAAAATTTTTTGGACGTATTTATTTTAAACTTTATGGGTATGAACATTTTGCCCGAATGTATGTATGCGTACTATATGCCTGGTGCCTATGGAGGCCAGAAAAGGACACCAAACCCTCTGGAACTGCAGTTAATAGAAGTTTGTGAGTCAAAATGTGAACCCTGGGAATGGAACCTGGGTCATCTGCAAGAACAGCAAGTACACTTAACCACTGAGCCAACTCTCCAGCCCCTGAAACACTTAAAAAAATTATTTTTATTATTTTAGGTGTGTGTGTGTGTAGACATATGAATATGTGGGCAGGTACCTGTGGAAATCAGAGGCATCAGATCCTCATAGAGCTGGAGTTATAGGTGATTGTGACCTGCCTGAAGTGAGAGCTGGGACAGAAGATAGGTCTTTCTATAAGGACAATATGTACTCTCTGAACTGCTGAGCTAACAGCACCCGACTTTTTTGTTTGTTTGTTTGTTTTTTGTTTTTTGAGACAGGACTGTGTAACAGTCCTAGCTGTCCTGTATCTCACTCTGTAGACCAGACTGGCCTTGAACTCACAGAGATCTGCCTGTCTCTGCCTCCTGAGTGCCTCCTGAGTGCTGGGATTAAAGGTGTGCGCCACCACTGCCCAGCATCACATCTGGCTATGCCAGGCATGCCAGTGAAAGCAAGTTGTCTGTCATGGAGAACATCACATGCCACCTGGAAAGCTGTCCAGGATTGGAAGATATTAAAAGGAAAGTTGGAAGTGACAAAATCCTCTGGAGGAAACAGCCCAGAAGGGAAAACATTAGCTCATAATCTACTCATTGTCATAGCTTATGTAAATAAGGTTTAAATGCTGTACATTGTATACTTCCAGTATGAAGGCATTTTAACAATATTGGAGGTAAATGGCTGGCATTTCCCCATCATCTGAAAAGCCTGTCGTATACTTCCATGATGGATTAGATTCGGCACGGAGTAATTGCAGCTGCTGTTTATTGGGTATCTACTATCTGCCAGGCACTACCGTAAGCACTAACTGTACAGCTCTGTGCCATTCTCTTAACCACTCCACAACACGAAGTCACCTGGTGTCTTCATCTTATACCAACACCAAAGTGGGGCCTAGTTATTAGATAAGGGGAAATGCAAGGGCCAGTGCTGGGACAGAGTTGGTGGTTTGTCCCTGGATGGCAGCTATTGATGGGGGATCTGTCATAGCCAAGATCTGTGAAATGAAGCCATTGTTTGGGAGAACTGGAAGCTGGGAAAGGGCGGGCTGGGAGGAAGGAGGGCCATAGTGCTCAGATAGGGATAGCTGGGTGAGACCTAACCAGAGCACACAGGAGCTGCCTGCATTTGCCTGGCAAAGAGGTCCAACGAGGTAGTGGGGGAAACTGTGGGAGGGGTGTAGCCCTGGAGACTGATATTCAGTGTTAGACTAAACTGGACAACAGTCTACTATCTGGTGACTAGGATCTAGATATGAACTGAACCTGGGGAGGGTAAAGGATCTCTAGTCTGGGCCTGGGGGTGGGGGCTAGACCTACTGCCTACTACCTACCTATCTTAGGGAAAACATTCTTCAAGGTCCACTGCTAGGACATGAGTGAGCAGCAGGAAAGGGAGACAGAAGAGGATGAAGGAAGTACTTCAGACACAGCACCCATGCTGCCCCGAAGAAGGTCTACTGACTACCATATCTCAGTCCTGGTATGCCCAGGGTGGCCTGTCCTGGCCACCCAAGGCCTCAGGACCCTGTTGCTGCCTGGCCGAGCTCTGGTTGGGTTCCTGTTCCATCTGCTGCTACCTGGGACAGTCTTCCTGCTGGTACTGCTGCCAGCAGCTGCCATTGTCTACCTGGGATTCCTGTGCCACTCAAGGGTGAGCAGCATTGGTTAGTCCTGGGGGAGAGGGAGTCCTGTGGAGGTTCAAGTCCCTGGGATTAAAGGTGAATCTGCCCCCTTCCAGGCCTGTCCCTTTGTATGCAGAGACATACGTGGCCTCTTCTGTAACCTCCTGTTCTGCCAACATCCCGACCAGCTGCAGACAAAGAAAAGCTCTTGTTTGTTACTAAGGGAACAGCTGTCTGGCCTCCCCCAGGGCTTTCAGCTTTGTACCAGGAGGCACCAGGGCCTGGTCAGTGAGGTTGAAGTGGAGACGGAAAAATAAACTTCACCTGTACTCAGTGCTCTCACTCCTCACACCCACACACATACGGCCCTTCCCAAACCCTCTTGACCTGGGCTGGGCTTCCCCACCTGTGGAGGGGGCTATGGCTTGATCTATAATACATGGATGGTCCCTCTATTCCTTTCTGTGGCTTCTGGTGCGGGAGAGAAATGATGCTAGCTGGTGACTACAGCTGGAGCTCACTACCAGCTGTCAGCACAGGGAAGGGCCATGGGAAAGAACCGGGTTGGGAGAGCCAGGGAAATTCTCTGAGCCTTTCCTTTCAGGAAGCCCTACCTGGGCCATTTATAGTCTGTGTACCAGATCTCCCAAACAAGCTTCAACACTGCTTGGCCCAGAACAACCACAGCTCAAGCTAACTCTCTTGGTTGTGTTCTCACAATTGCTGTTCCACAGGGCCCCACCTCAAGGCCTTCCAGCCCCGCCCCTTCTGTCTCTAGGCCCCGCTTGGTTCTCCAGGCCTCAGGCCCGGGTCCTTCCTCACGACAGCACCACTCTGGTGCTTCTCGGCGCGGCCACACGCCTCTGCTGTCCACAGGTTCATCCAGCCCCGGGGCCACGGTGCCGAGCGCTGCTCTCAGACCGCGGCTCTGCAGCGCTCATCGTGCTGGGATTCCTCTCCCTGCCGCCGCTCCTGGTGCTCGCCTCCGCCGCCCGCTCCCTCCTGGCCCGGCGACTACGGCCTGTGCCGCCTACCCCCGCGAGGGCCCCTGCACCGCCGAGATGCAGCAGCGAAGAGGGTCTGGCGGGCGACAGCCCTGACGAAGAGAAACAGCTCTGTGCCTGGGTCTGATGCCTCAGAGGCGTCTCGGTGTCGAGAGCCCCGCCTTGACCCCTATAAAGTGGACGGGTGGAGCGGCTGCCTCTGGGCTCTGAGCGCAGTGCTCGAAGTCGCCAGGAGATGGCAACCGGATCCCTTAGACCAGGGTGGCGCTTCTCAGAGGAGGGAGGTGGTCCTCTGAGAAGGTGCCCTGGGCTCTGCTCCCTCACAAAGCGAATGCCCTCCATTCCCTCCTGTGCTCAGCAGCCAGCTTTGCGGATATCTGTGTCCCCCAAAACAGTGCTAGTTCTAGAAGCTCCAGGATGACCAGTAACAACCGGATTTCATGACTTACCTTGAGACTCAGCTTGAGGACAAGGCTCATTTGGGTCTATGGTCAAAATATTACCAGGTCAGGTTTCAGGTGAGATCTAGGATTAGTAGCTCAGCGGAAGTCCAGGGTCAGCAATCTGCTTGTTTTTTAATATATACTTTATTTTATGTTGATTGGAGTTTTGACTGCAAGTGTATCTGTGTAAGGTTGTCTGTCCCCGAGCCCTGGAACTGAAGTTACAGACAGGTGTGAGCTGCAGTATGGGTACTGGAAATTGAGCACGGGTCCTCTGGAAGAACAGACAGGGCTCTTAGCCCCCCAAGACTCAGTTTGTTTTCAGGGTCAGGTACCAATGTGTATCCAGAACTGGAGCTCAACCTCTGACCAAGGTTCTTTTCTTTTGAGACAGGCAGCAGGGTAAAAGCTCAATTTAACAGTGTGGGTAATTTTAAGGTTTGTCTTTGCGTTTGGCAAGCTACAGCTTTACTAACAATTTCCTATGTATGGTTAAATTATCATCCTCCTCCCTGTTTGCTATCTCCTCTTCCTCCTCCTGCTCTCCTTCTTTCTCTTCTTCTTCCTCCTCCTTCCAGGTTCTCATCATGCTAGAACTAGAATATCTTATTTATTTTAATTTTTTTTAGTAGTCCTGGGATGGAATTCCAAGCCTTATACATGTTAGGCAAGCACTCTACCACTGAGCTATATCCTCAGCTCTGGATATGTTTTTAAATTTTTGTTTGTTTGTCTGAGACAGGGTTTCTCTGTGTAGCCCTGGCTGTCCTGGAACTCACTCTGTAGACCAGGCTGGCTCAAACAGAGATCCGCCTGGCTCTGCCTCCTGAGTGCTGCAATTAAAGGCGTGCATCACCACTCCTGGCTAATAATTTTTTTGTTTTATTTTATTTTGTTTTCTAGACAGGGTTTCTTTCTGGCTGTTCTGGAACTAAATCTGTAGACCAGGTTGTCCTCAAACTCAGAGATCCACCTGCCTCTGACTCCCAAGTGCTGGGATTAAAGATGTGTGCCACCACTGCTCAGCAAAGATTTACTATTATTTTATTTTTTAACTTTTTATTGATTCTTTGTGGATTTCACATCATGAACCCCAATTGCATTCATTTCCCCATCCCTTCGTATCCACCCCCACCCTTGCAACCGCCCCCCCCAATAAAATAAAATATAAAAGAAAAAACCCAACTCGTCATGGAAGCTGTAGTGTGTCACAGTGAGTCACACAGTGTGCCCTTTAAGTCCATACATCCTTGCTTGCAAGTGTTCATTGCAATGAGTCACTGGTCTAGTTCCAGGCCTCTGGCTTCTGCTACACTGTTAATAGTGGGAACACACTGGGACTCCTCTTGGATATCCTGTTGTTGCCCTGTGTCTGGAGATCCTGCAGCTTTGGATTTGCAGGACTAGCTCCTTCACATGCTCTAGCAGTTCATAGAAGGGGTGGGGGTGGGGGTGGGCCAACTCATAGCCCTGGTTCTGGATCTGGGTGGTAGCTGGATTGGTCAGCCTGCCAGCTCTCCCTCATTCTCACCACCAGGTCACCCTCTTCAGTACTGCCCCAGCTAGCTCACCCAATGCTGCAGGCAGCAAGGGGCAGGGGCAGTTCTCTTGCTCTCAGGCCCTCAGGGCTGGCCTACTCACACCCACACCACCAGGGGCCAGCTCTACTGTGTTGCCCAGGTGAGTTTCAGGGCCCAGCCTCCTGAGTGCTGCAGCTGGTGAGGGGCAGTCAGCTCTCCTGCTCTCATGCCGCAGGTGGCAAGGGGTAGGGAGCTGGAGGAAGAGCATCTTTCCTTCTCTCATGCTACCACATGGCAGATGAGGTGTCAGTGAGGCCAGCTCTCTCACTCTCATGCCCTCAGGGCTGGCTCACCTGCCCTCCCTCCCCCAACAACAGTGTCAGCTTTACTGTGCTGCCCTTGGGGCCCGCCATCAGGGTCAGCTCTACTGTGCTGCCAAGGTGAGGTGCAGGGACAGCTCTCCTTAGTGCTGCTGCCAGTGAGGGGCAAGGGCAACTCTGTGCAGCTTTTGGATATTAACATGATCCCAGGGGGCAGTCCAGACCAGGGACATACACATGGCCTTTGGTGGTGACATGGGCCATGGACATCGACACAGACACCTGCTGCGGTATGGTCATGGACCCAGACATGGCCCTCAGCGGCAGTATGAGCTGGGATTTCACTATGGTCTTAGGTGGCTTCACAGGCTACTCACATCAGGCTGTTTCTCTCCACCTTCTTCAGATCCACTTCTCATCATAGTGTTCAAACCGTTCTTCTCTTTCTTTACCATCTCTCTGCCCCATACGTGCACATCATAGTGGCTTGTGCTGTGGGTGGGCCATGTGTTGGGCAGGGTCTCTAGGTGTCTTCTTTTTGCCCACTGCATGGCAGCAGGCAGGGCCTCTGGGTGTCTTCAAGTGTTTGTCCAACCCAAAGCTTCCAAAGGAAATAAATTTCTGGCCAGTTAGATACATCACGGTAAACTGTAGTTCAACATGGAGTTGTCCAATCTCGTGGCTGAACCACCACCACAACCAACTAGAGAGATTAACAAATAGGCCAATGATGAGAAGTAAATTCAGCAGGACGAATCCAGTCAGTTGTGGGTCTCCATACTGCAGGTGCTGCTCTTCTCCTGGGCTAAGGTGCAGCTCTGGGAATCGCAGCAACTTGTACAGTGGTCGGTTTTCTCAAAGGAAGAAGGCACAGACCCACTAGCACCTGGGTTTGTTACTGGCTGAATTGATGGGCAGTGCAATTCACCTCTCCCAAGGAGCAAGAACAAGCACCTTTTTTTTTTTTTTTTTGCTTGTTCTCCAGTTTTGCCTCACTTCATAAAGCACAAACTGCTTATCTTCCATTTCTCCACATATTTCTTGCTTCTATCTCTCCCATCACTCCACCACTTGCTTATCACTTCCCATAGCTCCCAGCTGGGCTCAGGGCTGTGGTATTGTCTTTGTGCTTCCCAGAGTGCCTAGGTGGCATGGCTGACTTCAACCCACAGATTTATTTTTTAAATTTTACATGAGGACCAGGCTGGCCTTGAGTTCAGGGATCTGCCTCCCAAGTGCTGGGATTAAAGATGTGTGCCACCATACCAGGCTAAGCCTTGAGCATTTTGGGGTTTTTTGTTTGTTTGTTTTGCTTTGTTTTTTGGGGTTTTGTTTGTTTGTTTGTTTTGTTTTGTTTTGTTTTTTGTTTTTTCAAGACAGGGTTTCTCTGTGTAGCTTTGCGCCTTTCCTGAAACTCACTCTGTAGGCCAGGCTGGCATCGAACTCATGAGATCCACCTGCCTCTGCCTCCCAAGTGCTGGGATTAAAGGCGTGCGCCACCACCACCTGGCTGCCTTGAGCATTTTAAACAGAAATTCTATCATTTATTATACCACAGAATGAGCCCTCCAACTCCCCTTCCCCAAAGTCCTGGTTATTTATAATGCCAACCCATATCTGTGATGATTGTAAGGAACTGCCCTGGTTAGTTTTTTATCAATTTGATACAAGCCAGAGTCTTTTGAGAAGAGTGAATCTCAACTGAGAAAATGCTACCAGAATGGCCTGTGGGCAAGACTGTGGGACATTTTCTTGATTAATAATTCATGTAGACCAGGCGTTGGTAGTGCACGCCTTTAATCCCAGCACTCGGGAGGCAGAAGCAGGCGGATCTCTGTGAGTTCGAGGCCAGCCTGGTCTACAGAGCGAGATCCAGGACAGGCACCAAAACTACACGGAGAAACCCTGTCTCAAAAAAACAAAAACAAACAAACAAACAAATAAATAAAAATAATTGATGTAAGAGGGTCAAGATCATCTAGAATGGTGCCTGCCACCCTAGGCATGTGGTTCTGAGTAGTATAAGAAAGCAGACTGAGCCAGACAGTGATGGTGCATGCCTTTAATCACAACACTCGGGAAGCAGAGGCAGACAGATCTCTGTGTGTTCAAGGCCAGCCTGGTCTACAGAGTGTCAAGTTCCAGGACAGGCAAGGCTACACAGAAAACCCTCAAAAATCAAAAAGGAAGGAAGGAAGGAAGGAAGGAAGGAAGGAAGGAAGGAAGGAAGGAAGGAAGGAAGGAAGGAAGCAATCTAAGCAAGCCATGAGGAATAATCCAATAAGCAGTACTCTTCTATGGCCTTTGTTTCAGTTCCTGTCTCCAAGTCCTGCCTTGATTTCATTCATTGATGTAATGTGACCTGAGAATTATAAAATGAAATAAACCCTTTTTTCCCCCAAGTTGCTTTTGGTTGTGATGTTTTATCACAGCAATAGAAACCTAAGCTAGACACTGTCTTAGGATAGTTTCTACCAGAGACAAAGAAAGCGGTTAGCCTAGGCCCCTTGTAGGGTACTAGTTTCATAATCTTTGATATAGAGTACTCACTCACCTTTCCCCCTAGACCTCAGGATTTCTCTTTGTCTCTGTGTTCAGAAATTTCACTTTTCTTTTACTTTTTTTTTTTATATTTATTTATTTATTTATTTATTTATTTACTAGGTATCCAGCATGTATGACTGTAGGCCAGAAGAGGGCACCAGATCTCATTACAGATGGCTGTGAGCCACCATGTGGTTGCTGGGAATGGAACTCAGGACCTTTGGAAGAGCAGTCAGTGCTCTTAACCTCTGAGCCATCTCTCCAGCCCGAAAATTCACTTTTCTATCTGTTCCCTTCAATATCCTGGTTGCTCTTACTGTTTGTTACTGATTTTGTTTTGTTTTGTTTTGTTTTGTTTTCCAAGACAGGGTTTCTCTGTGTAGCCCTGGCAGTCCTGGAACTCACTTTGTAAACCAGGCTGGTCTTGAACTCAGAGATCTGCCGGCCTCTGCCTCTTGAGTACTAGGATTAAAGGTGTGTGCCACCACTGGCCAGCTTATTACGTGTGTGTGTGTGTGTGTGTGTGTGTGTGTGTGTGTGTGTGTGTGTGTACATGTATGGGAGTGCATATTCAACAATGTGTCTGTGTAAATCAGAGGATAACTCTTAGGACTTGGGGGTTCCAAGGAAGCTCAGGTTGTCAAAATTGGTAGCAAGTGCTTTAACCCTTGAAGCCATCTTGCCGGTATGTTGGTTTGGGTTTTTGTAATGTTTAATTTTGGGAGGCAGCTTTTGAGTTATATATGTCCTTGTAAGCCCAGCAATATAACAGGGATGAAGAGATGGCTCAGTGGTTAAGAGCACTGGCTGCTCCTCCAGAGGTTACAAGTTCAATTCCCAGCAACCACAGGGTGGTTCACAACCATCTATAGTGGGATCTAACACCCTCTTTCTGGCATTAAGGTGTACATGAAGATAGAGCACTTGTATACATAAAACAAATAAATCCTTTTTTAAAAAAAATATGTCAGGCGGTGGTGGCATACGCCTTTAATCCCAGCACTTGGGAGGCAGACACAGGCTAATCTCTGTGAGTTCAAGGCCAGCCTGGTCTACAGAGCGAGTTCTAGGAGAGGCTCCAAAGCTACAGAGAAACCCTATCTCAAAAAAAAACAAAAAACAATCCCAGCAATATATTAAAAACATGATCATTATAATTCACCTGGAATCTCATTGTAACAGACTTTTTTTTTTTAAATTTTAACTTTTATGAATCTATGTAATCCAGGTTGGTCTAGAACTCATGATCATCCTGCCTTAGTCTCCCAAGTACTGGAATTACAGGAATATACTACCATGTCCAGATCTTTAAAGGATCTAGCACATTGTTTTGCCAGTGTGGCTCAGCCTGTAACCAGCAGGGTCAGAGCTCAGCCTAAGACCAGGATTGAGCTAATTTTGTGGCCTCAAGCATAGTCCAGTGTGCGGCTAGCTCAGGTCTATTGGGTGTCTTGGGGTTTTCCAACCTTCATCTGTGTCAGCTTTGATTTCTTTCCTGATGAGACAGAGTGACGGAGTCGGCTGGTTTCCAAGTTTCCAAGGTTTCCAAGCTGCCCAGGAGTGCTTCCTCTGGAATGAGACGCCTTCCTTCTCCTGCCAGGAGCTAGTCTGGCCACCCCCAGAGGCTGAAAATGAAGACTCTCCTGGGAAGCCCTTGGCTAAGGATTGGATCTGCCTGGCCCCAAAGTCATCAAAACAACAGCTGGGCCTGGTGGGGGTTGGGAGGTGACTGTAGAGATCAACTCCTAAGCTTAAGTGGCTGCTAGCTGGGTGAGGAACTCTGTCATAGCAGCTGTCTGAGACATTCTGTTTCTGAAAGGTGTTTCCCAGCTTCCCAAGCCCATCTTGAAGCCTTGGGTGTCCTCCAGGTGGCCCTGGGAAAGTCCAAGGGGGGTAATGGGATGACCTACTTTAGCCCAATCTTTCAGATTTTCTTCTCATTTATTATATTTTATTTTTCCTGGCGTGTTTCCAAAGGAACTCAGTTGCAGGGCATGCTGGTTTATGATTGCAATCTTAGCACTAGGGAGGCTGAGGCAGAAGAATTGCTGTGAGTTTGAGGCCAGCCTGGGCTATAAAATAAGATTCTGTAAAAAAAACAAAACACCATTGTGCTGTGAAATGGAGCTGGGTAGCAGGGTATAGCCTAGTGTTTGTGTGAGGCAGAGAGATGACCTAGATTCCATTCACAGCATCACAAAAAAAAAAAAAAAAAAAAGAAAAAGAAAGAAAGAAAGAAGAAAGAAAAATAAAAATGACTGTGGAGATTGTAGGAGGTCTGTGGAAGTGTGGAAGAGGTCTAGGGTCTGTATTTAGCTGTGAAGAACACAGCTGTGTCATCTGGTAGAGAAGCAGAGCCTGGGTACTGAGGAAATGAGCTAGCTCACCACACAGCCAGGTGCAGATCTGGGGTCATTGCTCCTTCCTAACCCTCTTCAGAGGTCCTAAGGGCACCTGCTGTCTCCACCACCGTACGGACAGGTCCCTGAAAGGGGGTTTTGGACTAAAGGGAAGAGTGAGCCTGGTTCTTCAGTCATAACGTCCGCTTTCCATTCCCTGAGGTAATCACTGGCATTTGCCTAGCCTACTGTCCCCTGCCTTGGCAGTAATCTGTCTGGGCCCCACAAGTGTGAGCTCAAGACAGAAACATTACTTAGGAACTAGAATCCTCACGTCTAGACTCTAGCTTGAAAGTCCAGAGAAGCCTCATTCTCCTAAGGGCCTCTATCTCCCACCTCCCCTCCACTTCCTCAGGGCTACAGAGTTAAACTTCAAGGTGAGCTAGCCAAGATCTCCATGTAGGGGATGCTCCTTCCCCAGTAACTGAGGGCCTGCCTTATAAAAGGGAGCCTGGCTAGGGCATGCATACATGTATGGCTGTGTCCTGTCCATACTCCTCTTATGCTTTGTGTGGGGGCATCACCACAGGTGAAGACTGGGTTCAGTGAGATTCCCACTTCACCTAAACTATGTATTCATTCACAAAGTATTTGCAGACATGCCCTCGGACAGTGCCAGCCAGGGGGGCCCTGGGTTTAGCCAGTTTTGTCCATCCAGCTTCAGGTCTGTGCCTAAGCTCTAGCCTTGCTCCCCTCCCAGGCATGTGGGTTGGCTTTGGCAGAGGCAGGAGCTGAGCTGGGAGTGGAACAGGCAGAGCTGGTGCTGGCCCTGAGAGCTGAGGCCACTCCTCTGCTTCTCTTAGGTCCCCACCGCTGGAAGACTCCCTTTCAAGACTACTTGGACCTTCCTTGGGATGGGACAGGAACCTTGGGTGACTTCTTACAGAAGCATTTCAGCCAGGACCCAAAGCTGGGGGTCCCATGTCAAGATGGAGTGTTACTGTTCAGCTAATGGCATATTTGGGGTTTACAGTCTATCTCTGATGGCTGTTGTTGTTGTTTTTTCTTTTTCTTTTTTTATTTTTCAAGACAGGGTTTCTCTGTGTAGCTTTGCGCCTTTCCTGGAACTCACTTGGTAGCCCAGGCTGGCCTCAAACTCACAAAGATCCGCCTGCCTCTGCCTCCCAAGTGCTGGGATTAAAGGCGTGCGCCACCACCGCCCGGCTGATGGCTGTTTTTCTAGAATCATGGAGTCAGCTGTCCTTGCCTCACCTCTACACCCTCCAAACTTCTCCTAATACTCAGAATCCCATCATCCTCCCCACGGTCTGAAGGCCGCATAGCCTGACCTGCTTCCTTTGTCCCAGCCCGAGCATCCTGCCACGGACATGTACTCTTCCCCACAGCTGTCCAGGTCTTGGCACTTGTTGTTGCCTCTGCTTGTTAAGTTTATCCTTCTCGTAGCTCCTGCCACCGGGTCCCCATTGACTCCCTTATCTCACACAATTACACCTTTTTCAGGGAAAACAAGTAGCCTTGTGTATTAGTTACTTTTGTGTAGCTGTGACCACAACAGTACAACTGATAGGAACAACTTAAGGTTTGCTTTAGCTCAAGGTCTCAAGATGTTTCTTGGTGGGGAAGGCAATGGTAGAGCAGCTCAGACCATAACAATGGAATGGAAGGTTCTTCAAATCACAGCAGACCAGGAAGCAGAGAACAGCAACATGAGCCAGTAGCTGGTCTTTAATTCTCAAAAACCTGCCCTTAGTTAGGCACATCCTCCTAAAGGCTCACAGACTCCTAAAGTTTCATGGACTCCCAACAAAATACCACTAAAAGGGAACAAGTGTTGAAAACATGAGTCTGGGGATCATTTCAGATTGAATCATAACACCTAGCATGGAGCTTTCCTGCTCAGTCCTCATTTGGCAGTACTGGGAAGACAGGGTTTGGTACAGTGCCTTGCGTCCTCAGTGCAGAGATTGGGGTTATAGACTGGGTAAATAAAGGGAGTGGTTGCATTCACCCTATGCTCAGGCTACTCACCAAGCCATTTGTCTTCCCTCCCACTCTAGCAAGGAAAGCGATTGGGGTCAGCTCTGGTCCCTGAGGGTGAAACAGGACCCTAGGTCTTCAGACCCAGTCCTCAGGCTCTAGAACTTGCCCTACCAAAGCTGGTCTAGAAGAAAGTATAATAGATAGCAGGAAGGAGCTGAGAGCCCTGATGCTCTTGGCTGCTCCTTGACTGCTGCTGTGAGATGGGGTCATAGGGTCCAGGCTCACCCCATTCCACTGCCCCAGGCCTCCAACAGCTGCTCCCACCGTGTCCTAGTTCTGTGTTCCGGTGTGTGCTTGGGTTTTCATGTTAGATACAAATTACATGACAAGTGGGACAATGGTGGTGCACACCTTTAACCCCAGCACTCAGGAGGCAGAGGCAGGTGGGTCTCTGAGTTCAAGGCCAGCCTGGGCTACAAAGCCAGTTCCAGGACAGCCAGGGCTACACAAAGAAACCCTGTCTTGAAAAATCCCACAAAAAAAAAAAAAAAAAAAGAGAAAGAAAAAGAAAGAAAGAAAAAAGAAGAAGAAGAAAAATGACATTTCAGAGCATTTCAGCCTGGTGGAAGTGGGAGAAGTTTCCCCCTTGGCACTCATCCCAGTTAGCTCTAACTTGATACAGCCCAGAGTCATCTGAAAAGGACATTTCAATAGAGGGATCCTCAGATCAGATTGGTCTGTGGGGGATTTGTGTGTGTGTGTGTGTGTGTGTGTGTGTGTGTGTGTGTGTGTGTGTGTGTGTGAATTGTAGGAGGACCCAGAGCACTATGGGCTGTACCATTACCTGAGCAAGTGATCAGAGGCTGTAAGACAGCCAGCTAAGCATGAGTCACTGAGCAAGCCAGCAGTGTTCCTCCGTGAACAACAACATGACAAACTGCAGCAGCTCAGTTCTGTCCTTGTGTGGGGTCAAGGGTCAGGTCAGAGGCCCCAGGAGCTGCCCTTTCCCCGGGGTTGAACATGACCACAGCCATCTGTGGACAAAAGGCCCTTCTTCTCTGGAGAACCCTGACTGTGGGAGGAAAGGAACATTCCCTAGGGTCCTTGGTTGAAAGCAGGGGCACTCTGCTAAGAGCAGTGCCTCTGGGTTTCAGGAAACCCCTCCACCTGCCTGCAGACAGACAGGGCAGGCCAGCTGCTCCAGGAAGTAAGACACAGGGACTCTCTGTTCTGAGCCAAAGCCATTGTGGCAGGATAGACTTAGCATTAAGGGCTGTCTTTCCTTTGGGGTTCCTAGGTTGACAGGAACAGTCAGGGGCAGTCCCTGGAGACCGAAGACTGAGGGGTCAAGGTCACCCTGGCCTGGGCTATCTTTGCCTGTGACGACATTTCTGCCCTTTCTCCTTCCCTAAACCTATCTCCCACTAGAGGAAAGGCTTCTGGACTATTCTGTTTGTTCTTCTTTTGGTGTCCATCCCCCCTAGGATGTCTGTGTGTCTTTTGGAAGTGGGAAGCACTGCAAGACAAAAGGATAAGATTTTTCTGGTGGCTGATCAGGGGGTAGGGATGATGGGAAGGGTGTCCCAAGGGATTTGGCAGCAGAAGCAGTTCTGCCTGAGTTCGGTTCAGGCAGGTAGCCCAACTTGGACAGGGCTGGGTGGAGACTGGGTCTCCTGTGCCCTCTCCGTCTGATGATGAGGCCAGAGGAAGGAGGGCAGCTGCTTCCTCAAGGGCTGAGTCACAGCCAAGAAGATCTGCTCACTTTTTCCAGAAGGGATGGAAACAGGGCAGGCTGAGGTGTGACTATAGGCCTGAGGGCTACGAACCTCTGCTTCCTACAAGACCTAGCTCCCTGGAAGAGCAAGCCTGAGATAAAATGGTTCTTCTGGATGCCCCCCCCCTCCAGCCCCCTGTCCCCTGTCCTCTGCTTGTTCACAATGCCATCTCCACAGCAACCTGTGTATTGGGAGCTGGAGGTTAGTTGGTGCCCCCTGGGAGGCACACTCTTTGAGGGACTCACACAGACTGTTCCCATCCTCAAGACTCAGGCAGAAGCATCAAGCACTTTCTAGTCCATTCAGAGGCCTGAGGTCTGTGGAGTGAAGCCAACACCCACTGCCAAGATTCCCGGCAAGGGGGTGGGGGACGGGCAGCAGTACATAGCTCTTACTTGTTCCTGCAGCAAGCTTCTCAGGCTCAGCCGCATTGCTTCCTTTTTTAGGCAAAGCCAAACTCAGGCACAGTCCTCAAGGCCCCACAGTGTCTCACCTGCCAGAAATGGAGGAAGGAAAACCATTGAGTCCTATCCGTCCTCCCTGCTGAGCATCCTCTTGCCGCCAAGAGTGGGAAGGGAGGGGACATCCTGCCAGACAACCCCCCCCCATGTGTGCCTCCACCCTGAACACTATAGTTACTCCACAGGAAAGCGTCTTAGGAGGGCATCAGTCTTGCAGCCCTCTTGAAGGGCTCAGTGTCCTTTGGTCTGGGTTTGGCTTTGACTGCAGGAGCCAGCTCTGGATCATCAGTGGGTCTCTGGTCCTGCTGGGGTCTGACCTGGGCGTAGCCCCAGGACCCCATTTGGGTAGTGTATAGGAAAGCAATAGGCTACCATGGTCACACAGAATAGCTTCTGACTGCCTGGCTTCCCCTTATGTCTTTTCCTCCAAGAATTCGGGTGAGAGTGCTGGAAAGGGAAGCTTCTTATATGATCTTGTCTCCTCTTAAGACAGTGTCCTTACTGGTCAGTCTTCAGAGAAAACCTGCTGCTCCTCCAGCTTGTAGTCAAGCTGGGTCCTTGTTGAAGGGAGGTTGCTTCTTTGTATAGCCCCACTTCTAAGGCTGTCTTTGCCCTGACTTCAGGCGTTTTGCACATCAGGAACTGTGAGGAGCTCTAAGGGAAGAAGAGAGAGGTGAAGAATATGGAGGACACATTATCACAGCCTGCAAAAGAGAGATGAGAATGTCAGCGCATGCCCACATGTATGTGCTTTTGTGGCTGTTGCGTGTCATCGCAAGTCTGGGACCGCTGAGGCGCGCATCGCTGTGCAGTCCATGCAGATTGGCCTTTGAGCGAGCGACAAAGTGCACGCACCTCCCCAGCAGGGGCGTGGCCACAAAAGTAGGTGTGGCTTCTCAGAGGTGGGTGGGCCTGCCTCACGGTAGGAGGGCAAGTTAGCTGCCAGCTGCGGTCAAGAGCCCGCCACTCCATGCACGATGCTGTTCTGGACTGCGCTCAGCCTGGCTTTGAGTTTGCGGTTGGCACTGGCGCGGAGCAGCGTAGAGCGCAGTAAGTGTGGTGAAACCCGGATTCCAATTCCTGACAGCCCTTCGGCTGCTGCCCACGCGGGTCATGACTGTCCAGGTGCAGCCGCCGGACGAGTGGGCGGGAAGGCCGGGGGAGCGGGTGGGGCACACGGCTGCACCCTTAGCCACCTGCGGTGGGCGCTCCCAGGCACTCGGTGACTCAACTGAGCCAGCACTGGACATAGAGCGCGGAGGCCACGGTCTGCCCCGCCCCGTCCCGCCCCGCCCCTCAGGCCTGGATAGTGAAGATGTTTAAGAGGCCTCCCTGCCTCAGTTTCCTTACCTTTGAAAGGTCCCTCAGTAGAAAGGAGGTAAGAAGATTGGAATGGTCCCACAATGAGGGAGAAGCCTCAAAGCCGGGATTAGAATCCAAGCACCCTGAGAGCCCCTGCCTACTTGAGACTTAGGGATGGAAGGTCTCATCCGTAGGTACCTTGAGTACTGATCAGTATCACCGGCTGGAAGAAACCGCAATAAAAGGAAAGGCTCACTGGATAATGGTTGGGCCCTCAGGCCGTTTCGGGTGAATATATCCTGCTTTCTTGGTACAAATGAAGCAGAGAATGAAGGATAGAGGCGGAGAGGGGTGATGTCATCTGTAACTGGGGTCAGGATTCCAGCCTGGCCATATGATGGGTGGGAAGGGCTGTACAGAGTTTTGTCTTCCCCATCCCTTCACTTTTGCTCTCCCATCCTCCTGTGTTGTCTCCATTGCTGTGCATGTCGGAGCCCATGGCTTCACCTGGAAACTGAGCTACCTAGCTTAACTCCATCCTGGAGGTGGCCCTTCTGAAAATTAAGTCTAAGGAGAGCAATGCATGTGACTCAGGTCCCTTCAGACCTAGGCCTGAGCCCTTGGCTCCACCTGTATGAGGTATCTATTGAGGACAGTGTCCGCACTTGTATAAGGAACATGAGGGCAGCCCAGGGTGCCCTGGGTACATGGCCATTGTACAGTCGGGAACCACTGGAGAGTGTGGGCCTTTTGTTGGCTAATAACCCCATTCTGGGGATTCTACTACCAGTATCTTTGGGCAAAGGCAAGCATATACTTCAGGGAAATCCAGGCCTTTGGGGGTGGTTCTGCCCTGGGCATGGGGCTGTCTGGGGAGCTACCACCTGGACTGAACCCTTGTCTTTTCCTCTAGGTGCCACAGCATCAGCCCCCCATGGGGACCTGTTGTTCCTGCTGGACAGCTCAGCCAGTGTGTCACACTATGAATTCTCAAGAGTTCGGGAATTTGTGGGGCAGCTGGTGTCTGCAATGCCTTTTGGCCCTGAGGCCGTGCGTGCTAGCCTGGTGCACGTAGGGAGTCAGCCATACACAGAGTTTACTTTTGACCAATACAGTTCAGGCCAGGCTGTACAGGATGCCATACGTGTCGCATCCCAGCGTATGGGTGACACCAATACAGGCTTGGCACTGGCTTATGCCAAAGAGCAATTGTTTGCTGAAGAAGCAGGTGCCCGGCTAGGGGTTCCTAAGGTACTGGTGTGGGTGACAGATGGCGGCTCCAGTGACCCCGTGGGTCCTCCTATGCAGGAGCTCAAGGACCTGGGTGTCATCGTCTTCATTGTTAGCACTGGCCGGGGCAACCTGTTGGAGCTGTTGGCGGCTGCCTCAGCTCCCGCTGAGAAGCACCTACACTTTGTGGATGTGGATGACCTTCACATCATTGCCCCAGAACTCCAGGACTCCATTACTGGTAGGTGGGAAGAGCCAGGGCCTGTGAATCCCTAGCTGACAGCCAGCTGCAGAGGGAGGGTCTGAGTTAAGACATCAGGGGAAACTCATGAGCCTGAAGCCCTTGTGGATACAGCAGTGGGGAGGTGGTCCACATGTTCTTTTCATACTGTCCAGGAACACACTCCTTCTGGGTGCCTTCATGAACCCTGACGTCTGGGCTATAAAGGGACTATGGCAGGTCTGAGTGACCACTTCAAGATGGGACTCCCTGGTCTGTATAGGCCAATGAACTGAGGGCTACTTTGGGTGGAGTGTGTGTGAAGGGCTTAGTACAGATAAAGGAGGTCCAAGGCTCCCCAGGGGTCTCTGTGGCATCGTGTGCCTTTGTATGTGTCCAGGGGCCAAATGGCTTGCCAGGCTCACCATTCCTGGAGAAAGGAGAGCCAAGTAGGTCAGGGATTGTCTCCTACAGAGTCCAGGCTCTACCATGGTAGGGAGCCATAGTCAGGAATGGGTTTGAGCTGGTATTCTTTCACTCTGGTCCATTGTGGGGACTGCTGGGGAAGCCAGAACAGGGAATACACTGTAGGAGCTTGGTACCACCTTTCTTCTGGATCTCCAAAGCTGATCTCCCAAAGAGAAGGGGCTAGAGACTAAGGGCTCGTTGGTTGGCTTATCCTCTGGTAGGCACTGAAAAATGCTATTACTCCAGGGTAGCCTTCTTCTTCTTCTTTTTTTTTCTGATCAAGCTGCAAATTTTATTCTCCTCAGCAAGGCTTATATATCATGGTAGCCTTCTTACCAAGTCTCTTACTGTGGGTTAATCATCTACACTAAACAGGAAGGGGTTGGTCTGTTGGTTGCAAAGGGTGAAAGATCTGCCTCAAGAGATTCCTCAGGGACATCACCTGGTAGCCCCTGGACCAAGAGGCCCAGATGAACCTGGAGGGGGCAGGAGAAAAGGCTGTCATCAGAAATAAATACTAGGGTGGGACACCTGTAGCTAAGGTCAGAATCTGAATGGGAGTCCGGGCAGGAAAGTGAGTGCCCAGCTGACCAAACTTAGCACCCTGCCTCATCAAGGAAGAAAGCCAAGGTATGGATGGGCTACCCAGCCTTATGTGAATACTGATCAGATGGCTGACCATATGTTTGTTGCCATAAGCCCAGGAGCCCCCTTTCCACTCTCTTGAATAGGAAGGTCTCTCCCTCTCCCTAATCTTAGGTCCAGCCGCTCCCGGGGTTACCACATTTGCATTGTTCCAGGTGCCACTAACATGTAGTCTCACATCTCCTGGCTGCAGCCTCTGGTCTGTTTTCCTCCTTCACAACTGTTCAGAACATGGCTCACAACAGATTTTTGTGCCAACCACTCAGTCTTGGGGAGCTGGTCCTCTGTTCTTAGATAATACTGTGGACCTTGCAACCTTGGAAAGACTCTCATTCAGGTTGTTTTTCTGTGAGGAGTAGCCACTATATCTTACAGGTTTGGATTTGAGGATGAAATAAATAGGCAGGAAAGATTATGATGGGCCTGGAGTTGGGGACTGTACTCTGTTCCTCCACTAACCCAGTCTTTAGTCATTAGCACCTGCTGCTAGTGAATAACCACCTGGCTCCTGCCTCTTCTCAGCAGAAGGCCTCACCGGTCTTACCAGGGCTCCAATCTTGGGTCCTCTCCAGATCAGTGAGAGCCCCACTCGGTGACACAGAGAAGGCCACTTCTGTTCCCTGACCCCAGGACTATCCCATTCTTAGATGCCATGCGGCCACAGCAGCTTCGTGCCTCGGAGGTTATGTCCAGTGGCTTCCGCCTGTCCTGGCCGCCCCTGCTGACAGCAGACTCTGGTTACTACGTGCTGGAGCTGGTGCCCAGTGACAAACTGGCAGCCACAAGACGCCAACAGCTGCCAGGGAATGCCACCAGCTGGATCTGGACCGATCTCAACCCAGACACCGATTATGAAGTAGCGCTGCTGCCTGAATCCAACGTGCGCCTCCTGAGGCCCCAGCACGTGCGAGTACGCACGCTGCAAGGTGAAGCAGGCGTACCTCATGGGAGGGCAGGGTGGCATGCAGGGGTGCCCCTTCAATCAACCACCCTCTTCCTCCGCAGAGGAGGCCGGGCCGGAGTGCATCATCATCTCGCATACCAGGCCGCGCAGCCTCCGCATAAGTTGGGCCCCCGCGCTTGGCCCGGACTCCACTCTCGGCTACCATATACAGCTCGGGCCTCTGCGGGGCGGCTCCCTGCAGCGCGTGGAGGTGCCCCCTGGCCACAACAGCACCACCATCCAGGGCCTGACACCCGGCACTACTTACCTGGTGACTGTGACTGCCGCCTTCCGCTCTGGCCGCGAGAGGGCGCTATCGGCTAAGGCCTGTACGGCCTCTGGCGAGCGGACCCGCGTCCCGCAGTCTGTGCGGCCGGAGGCCAGACCGCCAGAGCCGTGAATTGCCTGCCCCACCCACCCGAGAGTCCCTCTTCCCTAGCCCAGTGAGGGAGGCGCCGCCGCTGCCAAAACCGAGGTTTTTCTCGGGGGTGGGATGGGGTGGAGGGGGTGGGGAGATAGGGTGCAGGTCCTGCCTTTGACCCGCGTGACTCCTCCAGTCGTTTTCCTACTGGTCATGCTGGGCACCGTCCTCGCTTGACTCCCGGGAACCCAGTGGCAAGCCTGGCACGCGCAATGGCAATCCTCTCCGGTTGCCAGTGGAATTGCACACAGTGGTCTCTGGGTAGCATTTGGCGGGGAGATGGACAGTGTCTGAGGACAGGTTAAGGACATAAGATTCAGGACAAGCATTCAGGAGAGGAGGCCACGGGATCTTATACCTGTGCCAAAGACCGGGTCCTCTGGTGGCGAGGACTCCACATGGCTTGGAGGAAGTGCCCAGGACCATTCAGGTCCTGTCTGTGCATAGACAGTGGTGGAAGACAGGGAGGGGAGACTGGTCCAGGAAGGATTCCCAAAGGCTTCCTGAGGGAAAGGAAGGCCAGGGAGGAGTATCGGGAGGCTAATGATGTTGCCAAGTAATTTCTATCAGGATCCTCTACCAGCCTGGAGGCCAGGACCTGTCAGGGACACTGGCCCTGCCTTCGTGCCTGCGACTGGCACTAGGCCCTGCTATCAGTGCCTGGGATGCAGTCTTTTCTTCGCAGGAATGGGATAAGACCTTGGCATTTAAGATTTTGGGCATAGGAGACCCCCTGCTATGACAGGCTCTAAGAGAGGCTAGTGTAGGAGCTTCATAAGGGACAGGAACAAACAACACTCCCCAGGACAGGCTCACTCCAAGGACTCTGCAACATCTAACCCCAAGGGGTCATGCTGATGAGCTACCTTCTGTCCTGACCTCCTACCCTGGGGCTTCTGACAGACAGCTAAAGGTAGTCAGAAACAGGCTTCCCCTCAAGTCCCTATGTAGACAGAGCCTCTCCTCCCAGAATCACCAGCCCCAACCCAAGCTTACTTTGTCTTTTTCCCCACTAACGACCCAGACTCTAAAATACAGTCAAGTCAGTTATAAACTGTGCCTGCAGTCTCATTAAAATGCTTTATTTTTCGAGCCGGGTGGTGGTGCACACCTTTAGTCTCAGCACTCAGGAGGCAGACAGGTGGATCTCTGTGAGTTTGAGGCCAGCCTGGTCTACAGAGTGAGTTCCAGGACACCCAGGGCTTCACAGAGAAACCCTGTCTTGAAAAGGACAAATAAAAAGTTTATTTTCCCCCAAACTCTCCCCAACTGTGTACACATGTGGGCAGCATGAAAGTTTGGCTGTCCAGTGTTTGCTGTGTCTAGGGAGGAAGGGGGCAGGTCTGCGGCACCTGTACTCTCATCATTCGGCCTGCCGCTCCGCTGTGTACCAGGGCCTCACTTCTGCAGCCCAGGATCTACTTTTGGAGGAGTGTGAAGTAGTTCAAGTTGCTGCTGTTACAACTCAGAGGACAGGAGGCCTGACTTTACAGGGTAGTCCCCATCACAACCTGTGGTCCACAGTCCACTGCCCAGCCCTCTACTTACATATCCTCCCTGCACTACTTTGGCTACTCTAGTGAATCCTAGGAGTTAAAAGTATTGAGAGATGTGGGATGCGCTTTGGGGCCCTACACTGTCTGAGCCAAGCAGTGGTGATTTTCTTGAGAATTTGCTTACCACCATTTCCCAATAACCCGAGAGAGCATTGTAGGGCTCACCCTGACATCCAAAGGAACACTGCCCATGCACCGAATGTGTTGTGCATTTGTGGGAGGTAGCTGCTTTTGTGATGATGCTTTAGATACAGGGCCCTAGTCTGCTGGTGGAACAGAAGAAGCCTCTCGTGGTGGTGGAGATCGATTACCTCTCCATGCTCCCTTGTTAGGCCCAGGAAGCCTGTGTATGCACCTACAGGCTTCATGCCCACATCCTTACCTATTGATCAATTTCCTCTGACCTCAGTTACCAGTCCAGGGTCTGAGGCTATCTATCTGCATTCAGGACAAAGATTCAGGTTTGGCATGTTTACCCCACACCCCCCTAAAGCACAAAAGTTCCTCCAAGCCATTTGTGTTTCCCATTCTGTTCTCTAAGATGATTGTAGGTCAGCGTGTATTGGCCACTGAAGAAAGCAGTTTCCCTTCCATACTAAGTCTCCAGGCCTGGTTCACAGAACACTAAATAGATGGCAGAAGAGTACCAGAGGGTCATTTCTTAGTGGTTATGGTAGCTTCTGCTGACAGCTAAAACTCACGAGAATCTGAGTGACAGAGCTCACTCAAAATATACCCACTATCCTGAGAAAGCAGAATGGGCAGGAGTAACATATCTGATAGCCAGAGTCCACTCTCCACAAATGCTTGGTATAAGCTCATCTGGACCTAATGCCAGCACCATCTATTTTCAGGTGGTAGAGGTGAAAGCCTGCACTCTACCTACATACCATGGAACACCTCTACCACAGTCCTCATCTCAGAGGATCTGCCCTTCCATTGTCCTAGGCATGTCTTAAGTCTCTGAATTTAGTATACATTTCACTATTACAGAATTTAGTATATATTTAGTATATACTGCAGGCCCTGAGGAAGTCTACAGGAAATAGGTTTTAAATTTTATTTATTATCGTGCGTGTATATGATGTATGTGTATGTGGGGGTTGCATACCTGCCACAGTCCACATATGGAGATCAGAGAGAACTTTATGGAGTTGGTTCTCTCATTCCACTTTTACTTGGATTCCAGAGTTTAAATTCCAGTTGCCAGGCTGTGTGATAAGCATCTTTATCTGATGAGCCATCTTGCTAGCCCCAGGAAACAATTTAGTGGGATGAGATTTTCCTATGAGCTGTTTGCTACACAAACACTTCCTCTGACTCCAACTCTATTCTCTCAGTGTCTAGGATGATGAGCAGTGGCAGATTCCACCAAAAACTTAACATATAGACCATAATGGCCATTCTGTTTCTCAGTATGTACCAGAACACCAGAAAGGGCTATTCTGTGGTTGCTCCTGGTTGAGATCCATGTGAAATGAAGTACCTAGGAAGCTGGTGGGCAGAACTGAGAATATCCTGGATATGATGAGGAGACCTCAGGGGAGGCTGCTGTAAGCGCTAGCACCCATGTACTTGTAGCCACTTCACACTGCAGAGGATAGTAGTGCTAAAACCTGCATGCTGTTCTTGATGAGGTCTTGGCTCTCTAGCTTTTAAAGTTCTTTGAATAAAGCTGTTTGTGAGAAGGCCAGATGGTGGGATAGTCTGGAGTCTAGGTCCCCAGGAAGTGAGTTGTTCAAAAGAGTGGCTGTGCAGTTAAAGACTACTCAGTATATCTACTAACACCTTGGAGCTGGGCCAACTCTATAGTATCAGCAATAAAAGGCTGTTAAGCCCCCAGAAATGTAGCCTCCTGCTGGGGAACATAGGACACTGTAGGAAACCTGAAGCTGAGATGCAATAACTGTGTCTCTCCTGCTTTTTCCTGAGATGGAAGTGCTCCTTTCGCTACAAAGTGAGTTCTAGGAAAGGCGCAAAGCTATACAGAGAGACCCTGTCTCGAAAAACCAAATAAATAAATAAATTAATTAA